AGCTCATCACAACCTCTGTCTCCCTGGTTCAAGTGATTCTTATGCCTCAGCCTCCCGACTAGCTGGGATTATAGGCATGTGCCACCACACCCAGCCAATTTTTTGTATTTGGTAGAGATGGGGTTTCACCATGTTGGCCAGGCTGATCTCGAACTCCTGACCTCAGGTGATCCACCCACCTGGGCTTCCCAAAGTGCTGGGATTACAGGCCTGAGCCATTGTACTGGTCTTTTTTTTTTTTTTTTTTTTTTTAATAATCATAGGCTTGAATGTAGCCTCTCATCTGTTTGCCTTAATAATCCAAAAGTCTTTAGATAAAGAAATGGAGATTTGAAATGGCTTCTCAGAATTCCAAGATAGTATTGTCGTGGTTTTGCCTGCAAAGCAACGTGGTCTGTCTCCTTGTGCAGTTGAGATACCTGGTGGTCGCCAGTGACAGACCCTGTTATTAAGTTGGACACCGCTGTAAGCAACTTTGTAAACAATCCAAGCCATAATGAAGAATTAGGAGAGATTGACTTTGTGTATGAGCAATAAGAAAATCCAGTTCAATCCAGCAAGTTTTTGGGGAATTATAATTCAAAACTCAAATACTTGATCTGAAAGAAACTTGGAAAGAGACAGGGAAGGAAGACGGGCTTGTTACAGCATTGTCAGGGCAAAAGGAAAATACTGTATAGCTTTTAATTTTGCTTCTTCATGGCGTTCCCCATGTAGATGCCCTAGATTTGTTTTTTACAGTGGTCACGACTTCGTGTGGATCCACCCAGCACTCTTGCCTGGTTCCCCAAGGGACCAAGGGAAGGTGTATTCAGGATGACTGCTGAAGTGAGGGGTGGGGTCTGTGGCTTAGAAGACTCTAATACTGTGGCACTCATTATATATGCCTTTGACCCAAGAGATTTCAACTCCACCCGTGCAACAAAGGAAGAGGGTGGGCAAGACCAGTTACAGTTGCAGGCTGAGTGTGATAGTTCATGCCTGTAATCCTAGTGCTTTGGGAAGCCAAGTTGGGAGGATTGCTTTAGTCCAGGAGTTTGAGACCAGCCTGGGCAGCATAATGAGACCCTACCTGTACATATGGTAGTGTGCACTATAGTCCCAGCTACTCGGGAGAATGAGGTGGCTGAAGATCCCTTGAGTCCAGGAGTTCGAGGCTGCAGTGAGCTATGATTCTATGATTTCACCACTGCATTCCAGGCTGGGCAACAGAGCAAGATCATGTTTTTTTTTTTTTTTTTTGAGATGGAGTCTCACTCTGTCACCCAAGCTGAAGTGCAATGGTGCGATCTCTGCTCACTGCAACCTGCACCTCCCAGGTTAAAGTGATTCTCCTGCCTCAGCCTCCTGAGCAGCTGGGATTACAAGCAGCCACTCGTGCACAGCTAATTTTTGTATTGTTAGTAGAGATGGGAGTTTCACCATGTTGAACTCCTGACCTCAGGTGATCCACCCACCTCGGCCTCCCAAAGTGTTGGGATTACAGGTGTGAGCTACTATGCCTGGCCAATTGTGTCTCTTAAAAAAAAAAAAAAAAGAAAGAAAATGAAAAAAATGACATTGGCCAACTCATTAAAATGCCAGTCACTGACTGTGGTATGAAATGGCTTTTCCCTTTGATGGACCAAGTCCGTCTCATTGAGTGAGCCACTTGCAGGGCTGAGTATGACTCTAGAATGTAACTGCTAACCTTATCTGCTGCCCAGCCATTGAAATGGCCATCCCTTCCAGTTCCCAGAAGATTCCAGTGTGTGTTTGGGATTTTAAGACAGTCCCTTGGTCTTTAGTGTGGCATCATTCTGCCGGATTCTCCAGGGTAATTTTGATTATAAGAATTGCTTGCCTGCCCATGTTGTGTAATGCTTGTATATGACGCTGTTCCCTTGTAATGTGCAGGATTAAATTTTTGGGTCAGCCACTGCTGCTCCCCTTCATTCCTGCAGGTCATTAGGGTCATCGCACATCTAGCGATGTATCAGATCAGTGTATCTAGAGTGTTAATAAACATGTTAGATTCCAAATCTGCTGTCCATTTAGTCCATACTTCATACGTTAAGGATCTCTGACTGAAAGATTAGACTTGGAAAAAGAATGAGACTGTATGGTAAGAAAAAGATAGTTGCAAATCCATTTGGACATGTGGCATGTCAGCCCTGCAGAGCAGATGTCAGGGCCCCATTTGGTTCTCTGAGTGCTAAGCCCTTCTGCCTACCACGCTTTTTTTTTTTTTTTAAATTTTTATTTATTTATTTATTTTTGGAGATGGAGTCTTGCTCTGTCGCCCAGGCTGTGATGCAGTGGCAAAATCTCGGCTCACTGCAAGCTCCGCCTCCTGGGTTCACACCATCCTCCTGCCTCAGCCTCCCGAGTAGCTGGGACTACAGGTGCCCGCCACCACACCTGGCTTATTTTTTTTAGTAGCAATGGGGTTTCACCATGTTAGCCAGGATGGTCTTGATCTCCTGACCTCGTGATCCGCCCACCTCAACCTCCCAAAGTGCTGGGATTACAGGTGTGAACCACCGCGACCAGCCTCCATGCTTTGTTTTTTTAGAGACAGAGTTTCACTCTGTCACCCAGATTGGAGTGCAGTGACACGATCTCAGCTCATTGCATCCTCTGCCTCCCAGGTTCAAGTGTTTCTTGTGCCTCAGCCCCGAGTAGCTGGAATTACGGGCATGCACCACCACACCTGGCTAATTTTTGTATTTTTAGTAGAGATGGGGTTTCACCATGTTGGCCAGGCTGGTCTTGAACTCCTGACCTCCAGTGATCCACCTGCCTAGGCCTCCCAAAGTGTTGGGATTACAGGTGTCAGCCACCATGCCCAGCCCCCTCTGCCCCTTTAAGCACTGCCACATATTAAATCTACGAAGGCATTACTGATACAATCCAAGGAAGATGAACCTTGGGCTAGTGGGATAAAACTAAGCACATGTAGTTTGAATGGAATGACCTGGAAGCCAGGTCCCAAGTTGGTCTAAATTAGACTCTTGTTGACTATGTCACACTGTAAACCAGTCTAAATGCTGATAAGCATGCTTGACCAAACACTGCCCTGCAGCCTTCAGAGAGGAAGAAGGAAAACATAATTTGTATCCTCTCTCCCTATTTTCTGAGTCTATGGGATTCAAATTGTAGCTGCCATGGAAACTGTACTTTGGAATTTCTGGAGCCCTTAATTTTAACTTAACATATAAAAACACTTTTGTACTGATTTTATAATTATTCATGATGGATGAGAAAGTGAATGTCTTTGACAGTGAGGGAAGCTATCCGAACGCTATTTTCTTTTTTTTTTTTCTTTCATAAAGATGCATATATTTGCATGCTTTATTTACCTGGGGATAACTCTTGCATCTTTTGCAGATTCCGACACCATAGCTGAGTTACAGGAGCTCCAGCCTTCGGCAAAGGACTTTGAAGTCAGAAGTCTTGTAGGTTGTGGTCACTTTGCTGAAGTGCAGGTGGTGAGAGAGAAGGCAACCGGGGACATCCATGCTATGAAAGTGATGAAGAAGAAGGCTTTATTGGCCCAGGAGCAGGTAGGAGGATTTTAACATCATGCTTGTCCACTTTCTGTACCGGAGTGTTCATTGCAAAGACGAGAATCTGCTGCACTGGCATCTAGGATCGAGCACGTTTTCCTCTGTGACTATATTTAATGATGGTTGGGGCAAAAAGGGCTCTTGTGTTCTTAGCTCATCTTCTTGAACTGATGTTGGCTAATTTTGAAGGCTCACAAATTCCTCTTGATGTATCATGTTTCTATAGTTGTGATTTATTTCAGTACCAAGTTGGCCTTTTAACTAATGAATTTAAGATGATCTTTTATGACCGCTAGCTGGGGACTCAGGATATACATATGGTGGGGTGAATCGCATTGCTTTTGTACACGCTTTAGATATTTGTGTTGTGGGCATATGGATTTGGTTTTAAAACAGGCCTTTGAAGAAATCAAATAAAATTCTTTGTTATGTGGCTAGGGAGTTGCTTGTTTGAGAGCAGGTAGAACGTTATCTTTTTTGTTGTGGTATTTTTCTTTCTTTTAAACAAGGCTACTGTCTCTCGACATTGATTCTTTTGCTGTGTTTTAGAGAGATGGCCATCAGCCTTGGAATTCAGAGAGTAATTTATTACTTACAGACATTTTAGTGCACATGATATGTCTGATAATGTACCCAGCTCTGCAGGAAGCTCGCAAAAGGAATAGAAGTCCCATGGCTGTTATTTTCAGGGTTTAAAAACAACCTTGGAAAGTGGAGGAAAAATGCAAATGTATAAAGCAGGTGCTTACCAGCTAAAGTATCACAGAAGCGGGAGAGCAATTAGCAAATTAATTAATGATGATGTGAGGGGAGATGTTGTGGGTGAGCAAGGGACAGTTAGGGACAGTTCTCACTGATGGGGGGAAATGTAGGTTCTGGGCAGAGAGAAGTGATGAGAACATGTTGGGTAGAAGTGTGACATTCTGGAGTACTAGAATGCTATGCAAGTGTGTGTGTGTGGGTGTGTGTGTGTGTTCAGTGGTTCAGAACAGACTGGGAAATGGCGAAATGAGGACATTTGGGTGGGGAGGGGGAAATGGGTGGGAAACTCAAGAACCTTTTTTTAAAAAATTGTGGTAAAATATATATAACATAAAGTGTACCATTTTAACCATTTTTAAATGTGCAACTGAGTGGTATTCAATGCATTCATGATGTTGTACAACCATGACCACTATCCATTTCTAGAACTTTTCTATCCCAAACAGAAACTCTCTATCCATTATACAATACCTCCCCATTCCCCCAAGAACCAGTTTTTGAATTGCAGTTTACTTTGTGAGGCTGTTGGGGATTATTTAGACCTCTGGAAGGTGGAGGTTGGGATCAGAGTCTGGCCCTGTGGACTTCAGTGACTTTGTGTGCCCTCCAATCAGAGAAGCGGTGAAGGGCAGGAAGCTGCTTGTCAGGATCTGAGAGTGGCTTCTGTGTTTAGCAATAAAATGTGAGCAACATAATAGAAAGGAAAAGTGACGACATGGCAGATAATTTGGAAGAGAGGAGTGGAAGATGCTCACTCAGCCTCCCAGCTCCTGAGAAAGAACTGTGTCTCATCAGTTCACACTACCTGAGCATCTGCTGTGTCTGGTATGTTTCTAGGTCCTGGGGAAGAGGCATTACATGTAGCCCTGACCTTGTGATACTTATGTTTTTGATGGGAAATAGTGCATGTAAAAAGAAAATAATCCAATAGACCACACGGCAGGCAAACAATAGAGACATTCAAATAGGTATGCCTTCCTCCAGGCGAATGGCCTGAAATGACCGTGTGGAAGTGTGGGCTGGGGGCTTATAAAATTATACACATACAGGCGCTAACTAAAGCCGCCTATTCATTCCTTAAGAGGATGCATAGAAAAGAAAAGTAGGGTCCTTAACTGAGCCATTTGGAATTTAAGGGCATGAGAGGAGAGAAGCTAGCACAAGGAGCAAAGGAAAAGAAGTGCCCGAGAGGAGGGAGGGATGCTGTTCTGCAGACAAGTCCGAGGCCTCTCCTGGGAGAGGCCCGCACACCTGCCCAGGTTCTCTGACAGCTGGAAGGGGTCCTCAGAGACTGTTTATTTATTTATTTATTTAGAGACGGAGTCTTGCTCTGTCGCCCAGGCTGGAGTGTGGTGGCATGATCTCGGCTCACTGCAAGCTCCGCCTCCCGGGTTCACACCATTCTCCTGCCTCAGCCTCCCAAGTAGCTGGGACTACAGGTGCCCACCACCACGCCCAGCTAATTTTTTTGTATTTTTAGTAGAGACGGGGTTTCACCATGTTAGCCAGGATGGTCTCCATCTCCTGACCTCGTGATTCCCCCGCCTTGGCCTCCCAAAGTGTTGGGATTACAGGCGTGAGCCACCACGCCTGGCCGACTGTTTCTATTATTTTAGAGACAGGATCTCACTGTCATCTGTGCCGGAATGCAGTCGTGCGGTCATAGCTCACTGTATCTTCAAACTTCTGGGCTTAAGGGACCCTCCCGCCTCAGCCTCTCAAGTAGCTGGGACCATAGGCATGTGCTGCCACACCCAGTTCACTTTATTATTTATTTATTTATTTATTTATTTAGAGAATGAGTCTCACTCTGTTGCCCAGGCTAGAGTGCAGTGGTGCAAACTCGGCTCACTGCAACCTCCGCCTTCCAGGTTCAAGTGATTCTCCTGGCTCAGCCTCCTGAGTAGCTGGGATTACAGGTGCCTGCCACCACACCTGGCTAATTTTTGTATTTTTAGTAGAGGGGGGAGTTTCACCATGTTGGTCAGGCGGCTGGTCTCGAACTTCTGACCTTGTGGTCTGCCTGCCTTGGCCTCCCAAAGTGCTGGGATTACAGGTGTGAGCCACTGCGCCCGGCCCACTTTATTATTTTAAAAACTCTTTTTATTTTTATTTTTTTGAGACAGAGTCCACTGGAGTTCAGTGGCTCGATCTCACTCACTGCACCCTCTGCCTCCTGGGTTCAAGTGATTCTTGTGCTTCAGCCTCCCTAGTAGCTGGGACTACAGGCGGGCACCACCATGTCTGGCTAATGTTTTTTGTATTTTTTAGTAGAGACAGAGTTTTGCCATGTTGGCCAGGCTGGTCTCGAACTCCTGACCTCAAGTGATCTGGCCACTTCAGCCTCTCAAAGTACTGGGATTACAGGCGTGAGCCACTGTGCCCAGCCCCCAACTAACTTTAAAAAAAAATTTTGTGAGCCAGGCGCGGTGGCTCACGCCTGTAATCCCAGCACTTTGGGAGGCCGAAGCAGGCAGATTACTTGAGGTTGGGAGTTCGGGACCAGCCTGACCAACATGGAGAAACCCCATCTCTACTAAAAATACAAAAAATTAGCTGGGTGTGGTGGCACATGCCTGTAATCCCAGCTACTCGGGAGCTGAGGCAGGAGAATCGCTTGAACCTGGGAGGCAGAGGTTGCAGTGAGCTTAGATCATGCCATGCACTCCAGCCTGGGCAACAAGAGCAAACGCTCCATCTCAAAAAAAAAAAAAAGAAAAATTGTGTAGAGGTGGGATCTCCGTATGTTGCCCAGGCTGGTCTTGAACTCCTGGCCTCAAGTGATCCTTCCATCTCCCCCTCCCAAAGTGTTGGGATTACAGGCATGAGCCACGCCTCCTGGCTGAGACTGCTTATTTTATTTATTTTTAATTTTTTTTTTGTTTGGAGACTGCTTATTTTAATGGAAGCTTCAGGGGTCAGACAGAGTCAGTGGTGAGCAAGCAAAGGTGTAGACTGTTCAGTTCAGCCTTCCTTGGACACCTTTTATGTGCCAGACAAAAGAAGGATCAGCATCAGGTGTAGTAAATTACTGAGGTTAGGTTGCTGTTTCCCAAATGCGTTAGATTTATCTCTGGTAGTGTTAAATCTCATGATTTTAGGTAGTACGTGGACAACCTATGTAAAAATATTTAATAGTTAATATTAACTAACATATCAAAACCTGTAACTTTGCTCACACCTGTAATCCCAGCACTTTGGGAGGCCAAGGCGGGAGGATGGTTTGGGCCCAGGAGTTTGAGACCAGCTTAGGTAACACGGCAAGACCCTGTCTCTAAAACAAAACAAAACAAAACAAACAAACAAACAAATAAACAAATCCCCTGTAACTTATTCTAAAAATAACCTAAACAATTTTTTAAATTTAAAATTAAATAAAAAAAATTGAAACAGTAACCATTTTTTTTGTTTTTTTTTTGGAGACAGAGTCTTGCTTTGTCACCTAGGCTGGAGTGCAGGGGCACAGTGTCTGCTCACTGCAACCTCTGCCTCCTGGGTTCAAATGATTCTCCTGTCTCAGCCTTCTGAATAGGTGGGATTACAGGTTCTCTCCACCATGCCCGGCTAATTTTTGTATTTTTAGTAGAGACGGTGTTTCACCACGTTGGCTAGGCTAGTCTTGAACTCCTGACCTCAAGTGATCTGCCTGCGTTGGCCTCCCAAAGTGTTGGGATTACAGGCGTGAGCCACCGCGCCTGGCCAACAATCACAAATTTATAGAAAAGTTGCAAGTACAGTATAGTCAGGGTTCTTAAGGGAAATGGAACCAGTAGGAGATAGATATGTAATCATCTAGGATTATAAGTTGACACAAGACTAACCATCACATACAGTATAAACAACTTTTTTCTTAAACCATTTGATAGCTACACAATGAATATATATGTAGAATGTATATATACACACACAGAATGTATATACACATAGAATATATATTGCATACAGAATATATATACACAGAAATATATATGTACACATGCATAGAATATATTTACATATATATGCATATATATAATTTATTTATTTTAAGCAGTTGATTTACACAGTTTTTTTTTTTTTTTTTTAAGACACAGTCTCGCTTAGTCACCCAGGCTAGAGTGCAGTGGTGAGATTTCAGCTCACCGCAACCTCCGCCTCCCGGGTTCAAGTGATTCTCCTGCCTCAGCCCCACAAGTAGCATGCCACCACACCCAGCTAGTTTTTGTATTTTTTAGTAGAGACGGAGTTTCACCATGTTGGCTAGGCTGGCCTCGAACTCCTGAACTCAAGTGATCTGCCTGCCTCAGCCTCCCAAAGTGCTGGGATTTCAGGCACGAGCCACCATGCCCAGCCCCCATAATGTCTTTTAGAATAAAACAATCGAGTTGAGGATCACACGTGACACTTAATTGTCCTGTCTCTTTAGTCTCCTTCAATCTGGAGCAGTTCTTTGATTTTTCCTGGACTCTCATGACCTTGACAATTCTGATGATTATAGGCCAGTTATTTTGTAAAGTTTGAATTTGTCTGATGTTGCTCATATTTAGATTCAGGGTCTTGATCTTTGCCTGGAATATCACAGACAAGATGCTCTGTTCTTTTTTTTTTTGAGATGGTGTCTTGCTCTGTCGCCCAGGCTGGAGGGCAGTGGCCGGATCTCACCTCACTGCAAGCTCTGCCTCCCGGGTTTACGCCATTCTCCTGCCTCAGCCTCCTGACAAGATGCTCTGTTCTTATTGCATCCAAGCAGGCGACTCTCAGTTTCAATTTATCATATTCATGTTGATGCTCACTTTGATCACTTGATTAACGTGATGCCAGTTATGCTTTTCTGCTTGTGGAGTTACTCCTTCCTCCTTCGTAATTTTATTTATTTTATTTTTCTTAGAGACAGGGTCTTGCTTGGTTGCCCAAGCTGGAGTGCAGTGGTGCGATCTTGGCTCACTGTAGCGTTGAACTCCTGGGCTCAAGTAATCCACCTGCCACAGCCTCCTGAGTAACTGGGACTATAAGCACACATCACCACACCCAGCTAATCTTTGTATTGTAGAGATGGGGTCTCACTATGTTGTCCATGCTGGTCTCTAACTCCTGGCCTCAAGCAGTCCTCCTGCCTTGGCCTCCCAAAGCGCTGGGATGATAGGCATGAGCCACTGCACCCAGCCTCCTTTGTAATTAAAAAAGTGTTTTTTGGAGAGTTACTTTCAAATGATGGAAATATTTTGTATCTATGTGGACTTGCATTTTCCTATTTCAGTCAGTGAGTTATAATCCATTTCTGTCACGAGTTTTATACTTAAATTGTTCCCAATTTGGCCACTGAGAACCTTTTTAGGTTAGCTTTTGTGTCCTTTTCACTTGTCCCCAAGATTCATTGAATACTTTCCTGCTTTCTGGTATAGCAAGATGTTCAGGTTCTTTTGGTAATTTTACTTTCTCTGCCCTGGCTCTGGCATCAGTCATTTCTCAGGGGAGCCCTGTTCCTTTCAGTGGACAATGGTGTTTAGAGGCCGAGATCTGGACATTGGGTATTTTCATTGCTACTGGGGTGTCACTACTCCTAGACCCCTTTCAGTGGACAGCACTAAGGAATATACATATGTATATACAGTATATATCCACCTACACGTGCACGTGTGCACACACGCACACACACACGCACATACATTTACATCTATATTTGTGTATCTATGTCTATATATTGAAAACTGTGGCTGGGCACAGTGGCTCATGCCTTTAATCTCAGCATTTTGGGAGGCTGAGGCAAGAGGATCACTTGAAGCCAGGAGTTCAAGACCAGCTTGGGAAACATAGAGACTCTGTCTCTACAAAAATAAAAAGGGAAAACCATGAGTTCACACCAGTACCCCCAGTTCCAATCCAACTTCACAGGGTTCATTTTAGTTTTCACCCTTTCCATGTTTGTAATTCTCTTCTCTGACAGTATACCCTTAATATGTTTACTTATTTTATGCATCTGTGTGCATCCAATCTACTGTCTTTGTTGGTATCCCACCTCCCCTTGGTGGGTCCAGATAATCTGCTCTGTCCAGATAAGTTGCCCTTTCACGTGGATGTCTTCTTCACCCTGTGTGGGCCTGTGGTATTGGGCTGCGCCCACACCTGGGTGCCGCCCTCCTCACGTTGCTTGGGACTGGCACCCTGTCCTGGGCCACCGTGACTCTCCCCATAACCAGTATGGATGCTTACCTTGTTCCATACCAGCGAGTGGCTTTAGGACTGAATTGTTCAGAAACAGAAAAGGAAGAGAAAAATATTTACATTTAAAGAAAGGGAGTTTAAAGAAATATGTTAAAGAGTTGAGCAGGTAATATATGGAGCTGGCAAAAATTGTGACCAAAGTAGGTGAATGATTGAGATTTATGCAATTCTGGGCTAAGTGACAGCCCCTTCCTTGCCTCCTTCCCTCCCTCCCTCCCTCCCTTCCTTCCTCCCTCGTTTCCTCCTTCCTTCCTTCCTTCTTCTTTCTTTTCTTTTTCTTTTTTTTTTTTTTAAGCTAGAAATATCTGTTTAGGCATAAAGACAGAGGAAAATACTTTTTTCCCCCTCTCACACTTAATTCTTTATAATTTTCTAAGCAGTTTCTTTTTTTCCTAGGTTTCATTTTTTGAGGAAGAGCGGAACATACTATCTCGAAGCACAAGCCCGTGGATCCCCCAATTACAGTATGCCTTTCAGGACAAAAATCACCTTTATCTGGTGAGTCTTTACATCTGTCTCTCTGGAATTAGCCTAACACTCTGACACTCAGATGCCTGTGGTAAAACTGAATGTGGTTCTTGCCCATGTGGTCTCATTCATTCAAAGGCTTTCTTGCCTTACAGATGTCTCCCTGGTTTCCTCTTTATAAAGATCAAGAGCTAACCCATTTAGAAACAGCCTCATTGATTGTTGCATATTGTAGTTGTGGCTTTAAGGCAATAATAGGAAATCATTTATTGGGGGAATAGTCTGTTATTACGTATAAGAGAATGTTGCTTTAATTTTTAAAAACTTCCTGTGTTAGCTTGCTTAGGATAAAAAAAAAGATAATAATTCATGGTTGTGATAAGAAAATGCAAACACTGTAGAAATGCATGAAGTTGAAGGGAAAGCCCCCCATTTTCTTTTCTCTTCTTTTTTTATTGACACAGAGTCTCGCTCTGTCACTCAGGCTGGAGTTCAGTGGCGCAATCTCGGCTCACTGCAATCTCCGCCTCCCAGGTTCAAGTGATTCTTCTGCCTCAGCCTCCCAAGTAGCTGGGATTACAGGTGCGTGTCACCACGCCCAACTAATTTTTGTATTTTTAGTAGAGATGGGATTTTATCACATTGACCGGGCTGGCCGCAAACTCCTGACCTCAAATGATCCACCTGCCTCAGCCTCCCAAAGTGTTGGGGTTATAGGCGTGAGCCACTCTGCCCAGTCCCTCTGTTTTATTTTCTAATCCTCTTCCCTAGGGGAAGAAATGTTAAATGGTTACATAAGCTCTTCCTTTCTGACCCTTAACTATGCTCTGTGGGAGCATGGTGGGGATATTTTTCTTTTCTTCTTTTTTTGAGACCAGGTCTCGCTTTGCCACCCAGGCTGGAGTTCAGTGGCATGAACATGGCTCACTGCAGCCTTAACTTCCTGGGCTCCAACAATCCTCCCACCTCAGCCTCCTGGGTGTACACCACTGCACCTGGCTAATTTTTTTTTTTTTTTGAGACGGAGTCTCGCTCTGTCGCCCCTGTCTCTTATACACATCTGAGTGCAGTGGCCGGATCTCAGCTCACTGCAAGCTCTGCCTCCCGGGTTTATGCCATTCTCCTGCCTCAGCCTCCCGAGTAGCTGGGACCACAGGCGCCCGCCACCTCACCCAGCTAGTTTTTTGTATTTTTTAGTAGAGACGGGGTTTCACCGTGTTAGCCAGGATGGTCTCGATCTCCTGACCTTGTGATCCGCCCGTCTCAGCCTCCCAAAGTGCTGGGATCACAGGCTTGAGCCACCGCGCCCGGCCAATTTTTGTATTTTTAGTAGAGACGGAGTTTTGCCATGTTGCCCAGGCTGGTTTTGATCTCTTGAGCTCAAGCGATCTTCCTGCCTTGGCCTTCCAGAGTGCTGGGATTACAGGTGTGAGCCACCGTGCCCAGCCCCGGTGGGGGATACTTCTATATCCTCATGTGTATAGTTGCTTTATAAAAATGGTATGTCACTCTATGCTTGGCTCTCCAGCTTGCTGTTGCCTTTCACCAGTGTATCCCAGACATCCTTTCTTCCTTGTCAGTCACGCAGGTCTACTTTATTCTTTGAGCAGTGGCATAATTTTCCCTGATGTGTATATATCATAAGTAATAAAATGCTAAAATTCATTCTGGGGCCTTGTGTAGGTTCTTGAGGGATTAAATTCCTAAATTTAAAGAGTGTATCCTAGAAACAATTTTTGTTCCTGATTCAGCCCTCAAAAGAAGACTGTCATGTTACCCTGAATGGAGATAAACAGGCTCACGTGAGAGAAAAGGTACGAGAGAGATGAACTCCCACGTATCTTAAACTTCTACTGGCCAGTTTTTGAGGAATTTGCTGCTTTTATTTCTGACCTAAAATAAATAAGTTTATTTGTCTTGGTTTCATATTAGTTGAGAACCCAGTGCCTGGAGAGAAGTTTTCCTTGTCCTCTGAGTGAGGACATTCACATACGAATCTATTGGAAGACTGGCTTTGACTGACCACATGTGCCTTCAGAACCAATGCCATGGCTCTTAGGTGTATGGCCTGAAACACCCTTTCTTAAATATTGCCTTAGAAGCTTTCCTTCTTTGAGACTTGGGACATGGAACCCTCATCTTCACAGATGACTTTAGTGTGTTTCTAGGGTTGCTGGTGTTCCAGGACATTTGTTGCAGATGCAATATTTACCTTGTGCTCTCTGCATCTTAGGGAGCTTCTCATGTTTGAATGTATTAACGGACATTTTTTTTTTTTTGAGACAAAGTCTCGCTCTGTCACCCAGGCTGGTGTCACCCAGACTGGAGTGCAATGGCTCAGTCTCAGCTCACTGCAACCTCCACCTCCTGGGTTCAAGTGATTCTCTTGCCTCAGCCTCCCAAGTACTTGGGATTACAGGTGCATGCCACCATACCCTGCTAATTTTTGTATTTTTAGTAGAGACAGGGTTTCGCTATGTTGGTGGGGCTGATCTCAAACTCCTGACCTCAGGTGATCCGCCCGCCTCAGCCTCCCAAAGTGCTGGGATTACAGGTGTGAGCCACTGCACCTTTTCTTTTTTTCTTTTCTTTTTCTGAGATGGAATCTTTCTCTGTCACCCAGGCTTGAGTGCAGTCGTGCATTCTCGGCTCACTACAACCTCCACTTCCCGGGTTCAAGTGATCCTCCTGTCTTAGCCTCCTGTGTAGCTGAGACTACAGGCGCATGCCACCACGCCCAGCTAATTTTTGTATTTTTAGTAGAGACGGGGTTTCGCCATGTTGGTCAGGCTGGTCTTGAACTCCTGACCTCAGTTGATCCACCCATCTTGGCCTCCCAAAGTGCTGGGATTACAGGCGTGAGCCATTGTGCCTAGCCTCAGGCTTCTTTATTGAGAAAAGAAGTTTGGGCCAGGCGTGATGGCTTACACCTGTAATCCCAGCACTTTGGGAGGCCGAGGTGGGTGGATCATGAGATCAGAAGATCGAGACCATCCTGGCTAACATGGTGAAACCCTGTCTCTACTAAAAATATAAAAAATTAGCCAGACGCGGTGGCGGGTGCCTATAGTCCCAGCTACTTGGGAGGTTGAAGCAGGACAATGGTGTGAACCCAGAAGGCGGAGCTTGCAGTAAGCCGAGATTATGCCACTGCACTCTAGCCTGGGCGACAGAGTGAGACGCCCTATCAAAAAAAAAAAAAAGAAAGAAAAAAAAGAAAAGAAGTTCCCTTGAAACAATAGGGCTTTTGTTTGTTTTGGTTCAAGTTTGTTTGTTATTGTTGTTTTAGATACGTATTTTTTTTTAAGCGATGCGGTCTCTGTTGCAGTGGCATGATCATAGCTCACTGTAACCTCAAATTCCAGGGCTCAAGTGATTCTTCTGCTTTTGCCGCCTGATTAGCTAGGACAACAGGTACAAACCACCATGCCTAGCTAATTTTTAAATTTTTCAGAGACTGGGGTCTCACTAGGTTACCTAGGCTGGTTTTGAACTCCTGGCCCCAGGCCATCCTCCTGCCTTGGCTTCCCAAATTGTTGGGATCACAGGCGTGAGCCACGATGCCCAGCCTGTTTTAGATATTTTAATTAGAGCTCCGCGAGAGGTTTAGAACACTAACTTGTGAAGATAAACTTCATTTTCAATGCCACACAGAATCTAAGAGGTCCTGGAATTAGGAAGGGCTTTGCTTTTTGAACCAAAGTTGAGAGTCCACAGTTTTCTGGTCTACCTTGCAGTGTTCAATAAACTCATATTTCTCTTCTCTGAGTTGAAGAGCTCCTCTTCTTGGTGTCTAGTCTCAGGCAGCTTATTCTTCTTAAAAGTAAGCATTATTGAAATGCTTTGGGATTTTCATACCATCAAGGTCCATTTTGGTAGAGGCGTTGACAAATTTTCAGTGTTCTGTGTAAAGGAACTCAGTTGAGGATTTAGTGGTCTGTGTGGCAGGCTACTGCTCAGTAGCTTCAGGGAAACCACTGCTTGCCTCCCCTGTGGCCAGTGAGGTTGATCAGAGGAGCCCCAGCAGGGATGCCCAAATGTAGTTTTCTTACATGTTGATGGTAGTGCTTTGTTTCATGTCTGAACAGTTCTCAAATCACATCTTCAGGAGAGTACTGTCTAGGCATTTTGATAATTTCTCACTTTGATGTCACCATTCTTATTACCACCACCTAGCTTTGTCATAGTAGAAAGAACTTTCCTTTTTCTTCCGTGTGTGTGTGTGTGTGTGTGTGTGTGTGTGTGTGTTTGAGATGGAGTCTCATCCTGTCACCCAGGCTGGAGTGCAGTGGTGTGATCTCGGCTCACTGCAACCGCCGCCTCCCAGGTTATCCCGTTTCAGCCTCCCGAGTAGCTGGGATTACAGGCGTGTGCCACCACGCCTGGCTCATTTTTATATTTTTTAGTAGAGGTGGGGTTTCACCACGTTGGCAAGGCTGGTCTTGAATTCCTGACCTCGTGATCCACCCGCCTCCACCTCCCAAAGTGCTGGGATTGCAGGCGTGAGCCACTGTGCCTGGATTTTTTTTTTTTTTTTTTGAGACAGAGTCTTGCTCTGTTGCCCAGGATGGAGTGCAGTGGCGGGATCTTGGCTCACTCTAGCCTCCACCTTCTAGGTTCAAGCAATTCTTCTGCTTCAGCCTCCTGAGTAGCTGGGATTTTCAGGTGCCCACTACCATGTCTGGCTCCTTTTTGCATTTTTAGTAGAGACAGAGTTTCACCATGTTGGCCAGGCTGGTTTGTGACTCCTGACCCCAGGTGATCTGCCCGCCTCAGCCTCCCAAAGTGCTGGGATGAGCACTTGGGAGGCATGAGCCACCGCGTCCGGCCACCTTTGTCTTCTTAATTGTGGATTTAACGGCTGTGGACATCTGCTTGGGCATAGTCTTCCTGGAGTACCTCTCGGATTGGGACTCTGCAGATTTCTATGCTAGGACAGGTTCCCAGGTGTAGGGGGCTTCCCCATTGATCTCACCACTGGCATCAGCATCCTTAGCTTCTACTCAGCTTTTCCATCCGCCATCTTGCAA